TATAGATGTTTTGTTTTGTTTTCTTCTTAAAGAAGTCCCTTTAACTTACAATACTGGTTTGGTGGTGATTAACTCTTTTAGCTTTTTCTTGTCTAGGAAGCTCTTTACCTCTCCTTCAATTTTAAATAATAGCCTCGCTGGGTAGGGTAGTCTTGGTTTTAGGTCTTTGCTTTTCATCACTTTGAATATTTTGTGCCAATTTTTCTGGCCTACAATTTTTTCTGTTGAGAAATCATCTGACAATCGTATTGGAGCTCCATTGTAGATAACTAACTACTTTTCTCTTGCTGCTTTTAAAATTTTTTGTCTTTAACCTTTGGCATTTTAATTATGATGTGTCTTGGTGTGGGCTTCTTTGAGATTATCTTGTTTGGACTCTCTGTGCTTCCTGGAGTTGTATGTCTGTTTCCTTTACATGGTTAGGGAAGATTTTAGTCATTATTTGTCAAATATGTTTTTAATTTCTTGCTTTCTCTCTTCTCCTTCTAGTATCCCTATGATGTAAATGTTGTTATGCTTGATGTTTTTCCAGAGGTCCCTTAAACTATCCTGATTTTTAAAATTATTTTCCTTTTTTTTTTCTGTTTCAATTGGGTGTTTTTGCTACTTTGCCTTCCAAATTGCTGATTTGATCCTCTGCTTCATCTAATCTGACATTGGTTCCTTCTTATGTATTCTTCATTACAGTTATTGCATTCTTCATTTCTAACTGGTTCTTTCCTATATTTTCTATGTCTTTTTTTATACTTACTAACATTTACTAAGTTCTCACTGAGTTCATCCATCCTTCCCCTAAATTCCTTGAGCATCCTTATAAACAGTGTTTTGAACTCTGCATCCAGTAGATTGTGTGCTTCCGTTACATTTAGTTCTTTTCCGGAAGTATTCTCCTGTTCTTTCATTTGGGACATGTTTTGTTGTCTCCTCATTTTGGCTGCCTCTCTGTGTTGTTTTTTTTTTATTTATTAGATTTTTTTAAAATTTTATTCTGTGTTTGTTTTTATGTCTGAGGTAGTTCTGTTACATCTCACAGTTTTGGCAGGGTGGCCTTATGAAGTTGGTGTCCTGGGAGGTCCCGTGGCACAGTCTCCCTGACCACCTAAGCTGGGTGCTCCAGGAAAGTCCCTTGTGTGCCCTTCTGTTTCAGTTGAGCCTTGGTTGCTATGGCACATCAGTGGGTGGAACTGACCCTCAGGCTGACTGGCTGTGAAAACTGGCCACTAGCACTGCATCAAAGCTGCTGTACAGGGCAGCCCCCACACAGCAGGACTCATCCCAGTGGGCTCTGCGCCTGGTGAGACTCCTGCACATAAACTTCGCCAAGGAAGCTTTACTTAATTTTTTAAAACCATCAATATTCAGAATCTATTAAATGAGTGTAGCTCCAAGAAATTATAATGGAAAAATGTTACCTTGAAAAACAAATGTTTCTTTTATTTCCAGAAATAGTTTTTAGTAAAACATGTTTGCTTTTCGTGTTATAATGGTACCTCCTAAATCTGACTGTGAGAGAATCATATGGTCTTTAAACATTTGATGGTATAGTATAAAATAAAGAAATGAAAAGAAGAGATGCCTTTTCCTTTGGGACTGAATATTTAAATTTTAAAAAGAAAGTAGTATTTGTAAATTAGATGAAGACTCTGCAAGAGGTTGGTAATTGTTCTTCAAGATTGGTGGCATCTTTAAGTATTGAAATCAAGGAATATAAAAGGTGGCTTGGCCCTGACCGGTTTGGCTCAGTGGATAGAGCGTTGGCCTGTGAACTGAAGGGTCCCAGGTTCGATTCCGGTCAAGGACATGTACCTTGGTTGCAGGCACATCCCCAGTAGGGAGTGTGCAGGAGGCAGCTGATCGATGTTTCTCTCTCATCGATGTTTCTAACTCTCTAACCCTCTGCCTTCCTCTCTGTAAAAAAATCAATAAAATATATTTTTTAAAAAATAAAAGGTGGCTTGTACAAGAATCTAGCAACTAGAAATTTCTACCAACTGGTATCTCTGTAAACCCAAGTACATTGATAATTGATGTGCATAATAGTCACATGTGTAACTGCAATCCTGAATCACCTCTGAGTAACCAAAGGAAAATTGTGTTCAGTACAGCATTTTGAATACGTTATTGATTTTGAAGATTCTAAGTTTTCAAACTATGTGTGGCATGTTTGATAATAAGCTATTAGCCAGAATATTTCATTACTCAGAATTGCCTGTCCTCCCCCATCTGTGCTGGTTTCAAAAATAGAATTTCTAGACTCAAGGTATAAAATCTAGTCATTAAATATTTGTAGTGAAAACTTCTTAAAAACTGATCATTCTAGAGGCAATCAATGAATGTCTGTAAGGGATTTTAGAGATTATCTAACCAACAAACATGTTACATTTGAGAAAACCGATACCAAAGGAAGAAGCTAATACATGTAATTAGTGGCAGATACCCAAACAAAGCAGTTTTTCCAAATTGAAGAAAGAAATAGTAGAAACCAAAGCAACTGAGGCTCCAAAACTGGCAGGGCAGGGTCTCAAAGAAAAGTGTGCTCAACAGAGAAGGAGCTCAGAAACTTAAGTAGGATCCCTTGAGTTAGGGGCCAAATCAGAAGCTGTGTATGTTCAAGATGAGACGTCACAAGGTTTAGGCTGAGAAGAAACACCAAGGAAAGAACATCTACTGGAAAAAGAATAATTACTGGGAACTGAACAAATGCTGGAGCTCACACAGGGCTGGGACATTCTACAGTTCTGATCAACCAGACAGCTGAGCCCCATGGTGGGACCAGTGCCCTTATAAGAGGAGGAAGAAACACCATGGCTTCCCCCCTCTCTGCCACGGAGGACACAGCGAACAGGTGGCCATCTGTAGGACAGATAGAGGGCCCTCTCCAAGAACTGAATCTGCCGGCACCTTGATTATGGACTTCCCAGTCCCTAGATGTTAGGTCTAATCAAATAATTGAATCAATACCCCCTCCCTTGGGAAATGACCTTTGGGCCACTTCACAATGGACCTTTCACTTGCCTAGACCAAAATCCACTTGCTAAGACCATTATCTCTCCCCTCCGAACTTCTCAGAATCCACACCTGCACAGAGAAAATTCTCTGCCCAGAAAAAGCCTTCTTTTTAAAGAGTCCTTTAAAACCTCTGACTCCCTGTCTTTGGGGGTGGGAGCCATTTTGGGGCTCAGCCCATCTGGTGTCCGGATGACCTAATCCTATATGATAAAAGCCTAATACGCAAATTGTCTCCTCAGGTGGTCATTAGACCAAGAGTTCCACTGCTTGCTATGATGTGCACTGACCACCAGGGGGCAGCGCAGAACATGGTGGGCATTGGCAATGTGGTGCTGGCAGCAGGCGGCAGTGGAGGGGCTGCCAGCCCTGACAAGAGCAGGACGGGAGGACCAAGGCAGAATGGTGGAGCAGGTGAGTGGGTGGCGCCAGGTCAAGGCAGATGCAAGCAGGGCCAATTGCTCCACAGACAGAGACCAGTGGCAGAAGCGGGGAGTGAGGGAGGGGGGGGGGGGGCAGCCCCGATCGGTCACCCCACCCACAGGCGGGATGGTGGAGTAGGTGAGGGGGCAGTGCCAGGCCAAGGCAGGGTGCCAGGCAGGGTGATGGGGCTGCAGGGCTGCAGGGCTGGGGGCACGAGCTGGGGCCCAATCTCCACAGGTCACCCCAAGAGACCCCTCCCATGCATGAATTCGTGCACCAGGCCTCTAGTAATTTCATAATTCTTTACCCCTTTGGGCCTCGTGCATTCCTCCTTGGGCAACTAACACTAGAACTACAAGAAATAAATGTCTGTGGTTTAAGCCACCAGTCCATAGTATTCTGATACAGCAGTCCAAGCTTTTCTGTCACTTTTTCTGCCTCCTCTATACCCTCAGCCTGCTTAGCTTTGAATTTAAATGTAGAGCTCTTCAACTTTCAGTCCTAAATCCTTGCTACCAGTCACTGTCTCAGCTCTAACCACAATGGCATCCCTCCTGCCCCCATATTCACGAAGCCCCCTTCCATCTAACTCAGGGCCTTTGTCTTCTCTGTTAGGAAAGTTCCTCTTTCTCACCAGCCTAAATATATATTTCTTTCATATTTTAGTTTAGTCATCACTTTTTCAGGGATGCCTTCTCCTACTTATCTAACTAGGTCAAATCCCCCTGTTATATGCTTTCATAACACTATGCTATTCTCATGAGTACTAAGCACCATAGTAAGTTATGTCTTAAACATTTTTTAAATTTAGTATCTGTGAGCTCCTGGGGAAACATTGAAAGCCCAGCATAAATATTTATAAAAAATGAATGCCCTCCTCACAATATTATTTCATAAATTATTTGCAACAAATTTTCCTAATGGTCCATAAGTATTAAAAGAATTAATGGCTTTCCCTGTGGCCCACTGTCTTACCTATTAAACAGGAGCCTCCCCTGCTCACCACAGAGGGGCTTCAAACAGATAAATAAATAATTAAAGTGTTTGATATTAAAATTTAAAATTGTATCAGTTTGGATAGGCTAAATAAACTACTGAATCAAACAAATGCAAACACCTGTGGCTTGAATACAACAGAAGTTTGTTTCTTGTTTATGTAATAGTTGAGAAGGGGTGTTCCGGCCAGTGGGCAGCTTTTCTCCATGCATTGACTTAGGAATTAAAGTTCCTTCCATTCTGTGACTTCCCTGTGGTCTTATGATCATCTGCATCCAACCAGGGAAAACAGCATGGAGGAGGAGTCCCTGCTCTCCGAAAGCCCCAGCCCCGTAGAGGGGCCCCGCCAGGCACTCTGTTCACCAGGGAACTGACTTGATGCCATTACTAAGGAAGAAGGAAAGCATACATTTTGCAGGCAGCCAGGGGTCTCTGCTACTATCACCCGAATTAAAGTCTCTTTATTGTTTTAGCTTTGCTCTGCTTTTTGAGCATGTGGCAATTACAAGTAGTAGTAATAATCTGGGCTGAAGTTAGGTCTGATTGAATGGCAATAAAAACCCCCTCTTACCATTTCCTAGTGATGAGACGCAATGCTACTCTGAGTATGTTCCATGGTGATTTGGTTGTGCAAGTTGAGTTTTTTCTCACCGTCTATTCTCCAAAGTAAGAAAAGGAAAAGGAATCATTGAGGAAAACATACCTATTTATTCCCAGGCTCTTCACATAATCTCTTCCAATGGCAGTTTAAATGTTATTAGGACCACCCCAGCCAGGGGGCTCAGTTGGTTGGAGTATCACTCCATACACCAGAAGGTTATGGGTTCAATTCCCAGTCAGGGCACACGCCTGGGTTGTGGGTTTGACCCCTGGTCAGGGCACATGGAGGAGGCAGCTAATCAATGTTTTCTCTCACATTGATGTTACTCTCCCCCCACCTCTCTCTAAAAAATCAATTAAAAAAACATCCTCGGGCCCTAACCGGTTTGGCTCACTGGATAGAGCATCGGCCTGTGGACTGAGGGGTCCCAGGTTCAATTCCAGTCAAGGGCATGTACCTTGGTTGCAGGCACATTCCCAGTAGGGGGTGTGCAGGAGGCAGCTGATCGATGTTTCTAACTCTATCCCTCTGCCTTCCTCTTTGTAAAAAAATCAATAAAACATATTTTTTTAAAAAATCCTCAGGTGAGGATGAAAAAAAAGTTATTAGGACTAAAAGCTGGCTTCCTCTTCTGACATAATCAGTTCTTAGTTATTTATTTGCTGGATATAATCTATTGCTCCTCTAGGTCTACCCTCCACCCTCTTTTGTGCTTCAAGAGGCTGACTGTTTAAACTGAATGGACTGGTTCCCTTATGCTCTGGCTTCCTGTCAGGTTTCGCTAAAGAAAAGCACCAGCAGGGGTCAAAGCAAAGAAAGGGTCACCATGAACTAGCTCATCCATAGGCCACAGCTCCTATCAGGAGGGGTCCCCACAAAGCCTCCCTCCCTCCCTCCCACCCTCCCTCCCTCCTTCCCTCTCTCCCTCCCTTCCTTCCTTCCTTCCTCCCTCCATTCCTCCCTCCCTTTCTCCCTCCCTTTCTCCCTCCCTGCCTCCCTTTTTCCTTCTCTCTTCTCCTCCTCCCTCTTCTCTCTTCTCCTTCCTTCCACCTTCCATCCTTCCTTCCCCTCTCTTTCTCTTTCTTTGAGACTTCAGGCTGAGCTAAGTATTACTATCCTCCCTCCTTCCTTCCTTCCTTCCTTCCTTCCTCCCTTCCACTGAAACAAAACCCGTCTGGAGTGGTTTGATGAGGTGCCAGTTTGTAACCTCTATCCCAGAATGTAAGCCCAGTCCCTAGTCCACTGCTCTGATCCAATACCTATATAGCATTTTGCTATTCTGCCTTTTAATATCATGTGCTTTTCCTCCCAACACATCCTACTAGCATTACTAATTCAAGTTAGGCTTACCATATCCTTAACATTTAAAAAAGTAGCCATATCTGTCTATAAATCCGTATTATATACTACAGTATTCTGTTTCTCCTCCCAGCAAATTCAACTGCACTGAATTTTGTTCTGGGCACATTTCACATTCCTTCAACTACTAGGTCCATGTTGGGTTCTATTAATATCCTTCCAGGTACTTCCCAACCACACTCAGCTTGTGCCATTCTCTCCATTATATCATTCCAAACATTAAAAAAATATCAAAGTTCATGACTTCAAAACAAGACCTCTAAAAGACTTGTTGTGTTCCTCCCTGATTGACATTACACAAATAATAACTTTCTTAATTCCTTCCAGGAAATGTAATAGAGCCTCCTCCCCCCACCCCCGGATGTCACTTTTCAAAGACTGGTAAATAGTCATTTCAGAAGAGTTAATATAATTGCTATGGGGGGCGGGGGGGGGACAACAGTTCTCTTTAACCATGCCACAACATTTTAATATGCTGATGAGTGTAAAAGCATTTATAAAATTTAAAAAATACTTTTGAAGTATGTTCATTCATTTATTCATTCAACAAATTGTTACTGAGCACCTACTATGTACCAGTCACTATTTGAGGCACTAGGTATTATTAGTGAAAAAATTAGCATGAAATTTCCATTCTCAATTGAGTTCAGATTCCATAATATTAGGTTAGAATATAAAATGAGCTATTCCTATTCATTACAGCGATGTAAAAATATGTAAGCCAAATGGACAAAATATCAGAAAAGAATATGTAAAAATTAAAATAGTATGGGGTGTGGGGAAGCATGGGACTTGGTTGGCATGTCTGTAAGGAGGATTCTCCAAAGTGGCAGCCTCTACCTTGACTTTTCCAAACAAGTCCGATCCCCAGGAGTGTTTTGCTAGAATCTCTCTGTTTAGTCTTTAAAAACCCGACCTTGTAGAAGCATATACTTTCTCAAGGATACTTACCCTGCTGATTGTATCTAGGGATTAATTTGAGTTCAAGCTGTCATGACAATAAAAGCCCAAGAAGGCAGGCAAACAGGACTGCTTTTTGCTTCTAAAGTAAAACAGCCCCTTAGCCTCTTTTTCACAGACACATGTGTCAGAGCAATCTGTTCATCGTTGCTCAGGGTCTGCCCGTTAGCCCCGGTGGGTGTGTGGCTAGAAGGGGTCAATGGGGAAGAATTAATATCACTGCTATGGGAAAGTTATCTGTATAACTGGCAACAATAAAGATAAATTTTTAAGAAAGAGATGCAGTTCTACCAAAAAAACGTGGGTATGTTAGAGAAGTTACAGATTATTTCTTTCTCTATTCAATATCAAATCCATAAGTTAATTATTTAAAAATTAAAAATAAACAACTCATTGGCCACCTGTAAACACTGCTAGTATACCAACTCATTATTCTGAACATTGATAAACAAATAAAATGACCACTGTCTTAGTCCATTCAGGCAGCTATAACACAGTATCACTGACTGGGTAGCTTATAAATATCAGAAATGTACTTCTCATAGTTTTAGAGGCAGAGAGACCAACAAGGAGTACAAATAAGATCAAATGTGACATCTACTTTCAGCATCACTATGAAACAGGGAATACTATGAACTTAAAATCACCTACAAGTCGAGAAGTGGAACTTACATTCCAGCAGAGCTCCCACTGTCAGTGCCCGCCTGAGGATGTAGAGAGCAATGGTACAAGAGGCTTAAGAAGCTCAGGAAAAAAAAATAGCAGAACACAAACAAAATTACCCTGGAAAGAAAAAGTCCAAAATAAGTGCCAAAATACTGATCACTTAGTAGTCCATGGCACCTGATGGAGGGGAGGGACTTGAAAGTGAGTAGGATCAGAAGAGGTAAAAGAGGAAATATCACTTCTCAGAGGAAAAGTGATAAAAAGGAGTAGAGCCATTTGGAAGGTGGCAGTGAAGGGACATAAGGAAGTAAAAGGCAAAAATTAAGGATCCTGCAGAAATAAAAGAAAAATAAATCATGTCAACATCTCTCCCACCCACTACCACCACCAATATAATCATCTACTAAGAAGAAAATGCATTTACTAAAACAAGAGAAGAGAATGCTTATGAACCAGAAATTTTCCTGGAAATGCTTTGCGATAGAAAATCAAATTAAACAAATTCCATAAAAGCTTTTGTAAGTGGGAAAAAAATAGACTATATGAATCAAAACATTTCAACTAAATTTTTCCTAAAGATTTTTCTCTAAAAATGCCAACAGATTCAAACTAATTTAAATGACGTCAAACAAATATTTGGATATATTAAAAAATCTAGAATCATAAATCTAAAACAAAAACAAAAACAACAACAAGAAACAGAAATAGACCCAGGAAGACCTATGTAAAGGAAGAAATGCATAAGGGATTGAATGGGGGGAGGGAGGAAATTTTAAGAAAAAAAACAAACTATCTCAGAAATGAAGAATAAGCCTGGCTGGTGTGGCTCACTGGTTAAGCATCAACCCAAGAACCATGAGGTCACAGTTCGATTCCCGGTCAGGGTATATGCCCAGGTTGTGGGCTTAATCCTCAGTAGGGGGGCATGCAGGAGGCAGCTGATTGATGATTCTCTCATCATGGATGTTTTTATCTCTCTTCCTCTCCCTACTTCTCTCTCTGTAAAATCAATAAAAACATATATTTTTTAAAAGGCTAAAATGAAGGAATAGGCAAAAATATATTATGCAAAAGGGCTTGCCATGTTGATTTCAGCCTAAAAGGCATTAAATAAGACAAATGATGACACTTTATGATACTAAAATCCATGACAGCTATGAATATCCATGTACCAACTAACCCAATAACTGCCTAATAAAGTAGAAACTACAGGAGATAGAATGAGAAATAGACACTACATAGGATACTTTAATGGCAAGTCAAGCAGATGAAAAATAAGAAACTCTACAAGGAACATCTAAGCAACATGAGTCATAAGGTCAATCATGTGGATACTATACCCTGATAATAAAGAACATTTTTTTAAGTATAGTGGAACATTCAAAAAATTAATCATATTTTAGGTCACAAAGAAAACATCAAGTTTCATAAAATAGAAATACTGCACACAATACTATGGCATTACAAGCAATAAAACTAGAAAATTTAAAAGAGAAATTGTACAATAAAAAGCCACTTCTGGTTGTGGGCACGTCCCCAGTGGGGAGTGTACAGGAGGCAGCTAATCGATGTTTCTCTCTCATTGATGTTTCTAACTCTCTATCCCACTCCCTCTCTGTAAAAAATCAATAAAATATATTTTTAAAAAAGAGAATATTAAAAAAGTTAAAAAGCCACTTCTGCTGGAAATTTAAGTCTTCTATTACACAAGTCTTGAGTGAAATGAGAAATATAAACATAGGTTAAGAATCTCTGAAAAAAAAATGATGACAATGAAAACTGTGTATCAAAATCTGTGGGTATGTTTGAAGCAGTGACCAAGGAGAATTTCTAGCTTTTTGCTGTAGCGGAAAATAATAAAGACATATTCACGTCCTAGTTCCCAGAACCCGAGAATACTGTCTCTTTGGCAAAAGTGATTATTGAATGAAGAATCTTGAGCAGCAGAGCTTATTCTGGATCATCCAGACCAGACAGGCCCTAAATAGCATCACATGCATCCGAATGTGAAAGAGGCAGAGGAAGACAGACACTAAAAAGAACAAAGGAAGCCCTAACCGGTTTGGCTCAGTGGATAGAGCGTCGGCCTGCGGACTGATACAATACAGAACAACCATCATTCAGAACCACCTGAAAGGTGCTGCATGGAAGTCCTACAATGAGAGAAGTAAAGAAGAAAGCACATGGAGACTGGTAGGAGGGGCAGAAGCACGGAAGGGGCTGGTCTGACACCCAGGTGTGGTTTTTCTAATTGGGAAAGACAGCTCAGCTGTGGAGGCCTCCCATGAGGAGCAAGGGGTCCCAGCCCCACACAGACATCTCAGCACAGGGTTCCAGAGCTGGGAAGAGAAGTCACCTTAACTTCGGTCCATGAAAACCAGCAGGGCCCTAGCTAGTTTGGCTCAGTAAATAGAGCATCGGCCTTCAGACTGAAGGGTCTCGGGTTCTATTCCAGTCAAGGGCACATGCCTGGGTTGCAGGCTTGATCCCCAGTAGGGGGCATGCAGGAGGCGGCAGATCAATGATTCTCTCTCATCATTGATGTTTCTATCTTTCCCATTCCCTTCCTCTCTGAAATCAATAAGCATATATTTTTTAAAGAAAGATATATTCACTGCAGGCAAAGGACAAAATGAGACTCTCAATACTTTAGGGTCTAATTACCTTCAACTAGACAAAGATCCTTTCTTCTTCCACAGGTAGTTAAGCTTGCCCTTCTTTTTATTTTGTTTGTTTTAGGTTCTGTACTTGATTAATTTTGTGGCCACAACTGGTATGTTTGCAAAAATATATAAGTGGGCATTTTAAAACTCAACAAGCTCACTTTAATTTTTCACAGTTCTTATAAAATCTTCAAGAAGAAAGCAGTAAACCCTAACCGGTTTGGCTCAGTGGACAGAGCGTCAGCCTGCGGACTCAAGGGTCCCAGGTTCGATTCTGGTCAAGGGCATATACCTTGGTTGCAGGCACATCCCCAGTGGGGAGTGTGCAGGAGGCAGCTGATCAATGTTTCTCTCTCACTGATGTTTCTGACTCTATCCCTCTCCCTTCCTCTCTGTAAAAAAATCAATAAAATATTTTAAAAAAAGAAGAAGAAGAAAGCAGTAATTAGACTGGCACCCCTGTGAGTGCTCAGTGACATGAAAAGGTTGTTAAAGGGAGACTTCGGAGGGAAGCAAATTCAACCATCAGGGACCAACACAGGCTGCAGGACTCAGTCTTAAGGTCAGTCACGTCTGAGCAGAGAACCCTCCCAATTCCAACTCAAAATCACACATCAGGGAGCCAAGGGTCATTTCTCAGTTTGCTGACAATGCCAGGATTCTAATAAATTAGTTCAAAGGTATCTGAATATGCCCCATCACAGCTGCTAATGATTGCTGAGTATGCAAAATGGACTCAAGTTCATTAAACAAGTATTTTTCCTTTATATCGTCATGTGTATGCAATGCATACACCTAAACAGGTCATGATAATGATTTAAAACAGTTATGCTGTCATTTTTATAAACTACTTTTCTTTTTCATACTGACCTTGCCTGGATTTGCTATCAAGGCAAGACTGGCCTCATAGAATGAGTTTGAGTTTTCTGTTCTCTAAAAGGACTTGTGGAAGTTTATGCCTTGAAAATTTGGCAGGACTCACCTGTAAAACAATCTGAGCCTGGAGTTTCCTTTCATGATGAATTATTAACTGCTAGTTGAATTCTTTAATAGTTTTAGAACTACTTGGGCTTTCTATTCTTTTTCAAACAGAAAAATAATTCTTTTTCTGATATGTGTGGAAGAGGTTAATTCTGGAAAACTTAAAGCCCTTATCTCTTTAAATATTGCCTCACTCTATTCTCACTTTCTGGGACTCCAATTAGATATATATTTCCTCATATATCTACTTCTTTTTCAGATTTTCTAATTCCTTTTCCCCCTCAGCTGTGGTAATTATGTCTATATCTAATCTAATCTTAAACCCACTCAATGAGTTTTTAAATTTTGAACAATCGTATTTTCCATTTCCAGAAACTCCCTTTTATTTTCAAGTCTACCTTTTCATTCCTGATAGTCTTTGGTTGCTTGCTCATTTTTGCAACTGTGCTGATTATTTCTTCAAATATTTTGAGGATAGTTGCCTTATATTCCGTAGCTGACAATTCTGACAACTGAAGTCTATGGAGTCTAAATCTGTTGCTTATTTTTTTCAGATGATTCTCATTCATAATGGCTTACCTTCCAATATGCAGAGTGATCGTGACTGTGAAATGATTGCTTAATCTACAAACTGAATAGTTGAAGATTTCCTCCAGAGACAACCGCTTCTGCTTCTGATCACGCTGACTGTCCCAGGCTCAGTTTCTTCAACTGGCCACCAGACCAAGGCTCAATATCTTGGTAGTAGTGCAGCAACTGACATGTGTCTTCAGGGAAGCTCTGCCTCATGCTTTTATTGCCCTTACTCTGTAGGTTGTCATATTTGTGGGAAGAGGGTTCTTGGAGACGCCTACTACCTGTTATGAGACCAGAGATGCCTGAGAAAGTGTGTCCCGGAGAGCCACACTGCAGAGCAGAACTCCGACTGCGGTAGTTTGTTCTCTGTTTACTTGGTTAAGCTGCATCTATGTTTCCCAAAATCCTCTCCTCCTGTGGCTGTGGGTTTGAGGTGACTGAGAACTTGATGTGATATTGAGACGGCAAAAGTGAAGCAATGGCCGTTACTCTCTGGAAGTTGTTATAGTCAGACATGGTGACAGAAATATGCAAAGGTGCCCTGCAGGATGGAGCGTGTCCTTGCTCTCCTCTGCTCCATGTTCAGTTCTTCTTCCCAACTCCTGACCCTGTGGGCCAACAGCAGCCCGACACCTATCTCCAGCCACACAGGTGGTAGCTTCCCAAGACCTGCCCAGGAGGTTCCCATCACTGGACGTGCGTGGTTCTCTACACCTGGCCGCTGACCTTTCCTCCAATGATCTGACTCCCTCCTGGACCTTCACTTCCCCTGCTCCTTCTCAACTGCAGGAGATATAACTCCTATAAAATCCCTTACCCAAAAGCACTCCTAATGTCTCTTCTCTTCAGACTGCACTCCAAGATATCCCCACGGCTTTTTTTATTAGCTTAATTAATCTTTTTTTTTTTCAAAAGCCCAGAACATGCATATATAAAGCTTTCATTAAACCAATGAACCTTAACTGTGCCCTGCTTTATGCTAGGCACTGTTCCAGTCTCTGAGGTAAGCAGTATAAATGTAGCAGGGCCAAAAGTGCAGCACATGGTGGAGAAACAACATAGTGAGTAAAGCAGGCTGGAACATAGGGTCCACAGTGAAACAAGTGCTGCCCTCTCCCTAGAGAGTGGTATCAGTCAGGGACCACTCATTAGGCTAAGTCGATATTCTTTTCTTTTTTAAAATGTATTTTTATTGATTTCAGGGGGAGGGGGAGAGGGAGAGGGAGAAGGAGAGGGAGAGGGAGAGAGAGAGGGAGAGAGAAGAAACATTGACTGGTTGCCTCCTGGACATTCCCTGACTAGGGAACCTGCAACCGGATATGTGCCCTGAGCAGGAATCTAATCTGCCACCTGATGTACGGGATGATACTCCAACCAACTGAGTCACACTGGTCAGGGCTCTGAGGGCATTTAAAAGATTGCTTCCAGTGAAAGACAAACACATAGAATCACAATGTTATGAGGTAAATTTAAATGATAAAACTCAGGAGCATTTGAGATATTGCTCCCTGGCATATGTCATCAGTTTTGGCTCAAATAAACTCTTATAAAAAAAATTTAAACGATAGAACTCAACACAGACCCAGAAGACAGACTTCCAATCCAACTGGGTTTGTCAGAGAAGACTTTCAAATGCAGAAACCCTTGAAGTGTTGAAGTAAGTCTCTCAGACTTGAGAAAAGTAAGGCTTCTTCTTTAAAAGGGTTTGGTGTGTTGGTGGGCTGTATTGACAATTCTTCACCGTTTTTCTCTATCCCAACTCAAAACACCTGTGCTGTAGCAGTCTGTGCTATATTTAGTTTGCAAGTAGTGACTTAGTTTTATCCAAGCAATACCATTTGTCATGTAAAATTAAAGTTGCTAATTTAGAACGAATGGGTTTTATAGTTCTTTATATTTCATTTGTGACTATGTTTTGGTTTTATTAGTCTAATAAAAAATTTATACCTAACTTATGTATATACATATTTAAGTTACATTATCATATAATTAATTCAAGTCAACTCCAGATGCAATGAGTTGTTTTTTCTTTAGGAGAAATCTCTATGTTGCTCAGGTTTGAGAAACATGAGGAGTCGTCTTTACCTTCCTCTCCCTTACCATCCTACCCTCCTTCCCCAAGAGACAATCACCACGTCATGCTAATTTCACATCATGACCATTTCTCCTTCCCTCCTCCACCTTCACTATCCCTATCTTACCTGAGTCCTTCAGTGGTTTGTCATCCCAGCATCTACAGGACCAATGCAAGCTCCTGCCTATGGGCCTCTGCACTGTGTCTGGCCTTCAGCGGGTACAGTGTGTCATTGACCTCAACCTGCCGCTGTTCTTTTCTCATACCTGCATGACGGTTATCACAAATGCATGTCCCCAACACAGCCGTTACAACCACAGGTGCATATGTGGGCAGAACTTCATTATAAGGTGATCAGCTTGATGACCTAGAATATTTTTTTTACATTTTTTAAATTATCATCACAATATAAAAACAAAACGTTTAAAATTCTCACAGATAACTCATGAACAATCCCCTCTCCCTGTTGAGTAAAGCCCAAGCAAATGCATAGCACAGTAGCCCTCAACCCAGGCTACACCCATGAGTAAGGGATCCTCAATTTAAAGTTTAAAAGTTTTAATAACCAATAATACCACCCACTAAAGCAATTATTATGTATGATTTAACACAAAATTGGGAAAATTAACTCAGGAACTATGTATGGAAAAGGAGAGTTATTATTAAACAGGGTGAGATGTTATACTATTTTTACAGTCTTGACAATACTTATAAGGAGTTTTAATAACACAAAAAGCATCCAAATATTCTGCCTTTCCTCATTCTCTCCCAGAGTTCCTCCAGTTGTTAGCCTAAATAATTGCCTTAGAATACCATTGTTATCCCCATATGCCGCTGTTAGAAACTTGTCCTGGAGACCTATAAAATTTAGGTGGTCTGCTTCTTCAAAGGAAAATGTTAACTCTTGATGGGTTGAAATTTTGGAATGAAATAAGTTCCTGAACAAGGTATATTTATTCACTTACTCATTTATCACATATTTAACAAGCAACAATAACATGTCAGAAACCATTTGGCAGTAGGGACCCAGGACCTGTACTGGACAAGACAAACAGTCAATGACAACAAGTGGTTAAATAAGTAAATGACATAAGTTCTGATATAGTAAGTACTATAGAAAAAAATAAGCCAGGTAAAGAAAGAGAGCCGCTGGAGGTGGCTAATTTTGGTAGTCAGCCCTACAAATTCTTAGATAAATACACAGACTTTTTTTTTCTGCACTAAAAATTTCTGACTCCCTCTCCCATCCAGGTGTTAAGAGATTGGGGCTCCAGCTTAGAATATGACTTATTTGTTCCCCTTTAGAACACATGGGAATAGTTGAAAAAAATTTGCATGGAGTTACTGAAAAAAAAAAAGTAATAATTCCAATCACCTGTTATTTCTAAGCAGAAGGAAGCACAAAGACTTTTTTTGATTAATTATTAAAAAGCTTCTCATTACAATAGGTCTACTATGCTGAACAAACAAAACCTGATCTTGAATATTATTCAGCAATATAAAAGAAGGAAATCCTGCCATTTGCAACAACATGGATGGACCTTGAGGGCATTATGCTAAGTAAAAAAAAGTCAGACAGAAAAACACTAATATCATATGACTTCAATTATATGTGAAATCTGAAAAAAAAAATTAACTAATAGCTACAGAGAGCAGATTGGTAGTTGCTAGAGGCAGGGAGTGTGATGGGGGTACAAAGTAGGTAAAGTCAGTGAAAAGGTACAAACTTCCAGTTGTAAAATAAATAAGTCCTGTGAACATAACGTACAGCATGGCGACTATAGTTAATAATACTGTGTTGTATAATTAAAAGTAGAGTAGATCTCAAAAGTTCTCATCACACACACAAAAACTGTAACTATGTGTGAGGATAGATGTTAACTAGACTTATTATAGTGATCATTTTTCAATATATACATATATCAAACTATAATATTGTAGTAATATAATGAACTAATATAATGTTATATGTCAACTATACTTAATAAAAAATAAATAGAATAAAATAGGTCCCAACTATGAGATCTTGTCACTGTGAGTTCAATAGCAGTTGAGATTTAGAGATCTGGCCTATAGTTAAAAGTTGCTTAAGTATCACCTGGCCAGCATGGCTCAGTGTTGAGTGCCAACCTATGAACCAGGAGGTCACAATTTGATTCCTGTTCAGGGCACATGCCCAGGTTGTGGGCTCAATCTCCAATGTGGGGCATATAGGAGGCAGCTGGTCAATGATTCCCTCTCATCATTGATGTTTCTATCTCTCTCTTCCTCTCCGAAATCAATCTACACTAATAAAAGAGAAAGATGCAAATTGACCATACCTTCACAACACCACCAGCCAATCAGGAGTGAGTATGCAAATTAACCCAACAAAGATGGCAGGTTAATTTGCATATGCAGGTGCTGAGCATCCGGGGGCAGGGCAGGATGCTTGCGTCATCGCCATGGCAACAACACAGGCATTCTGTACTGCCCCAGTCGTTCCAGGCAGCGAGGGAAGGTGGAAAGGCGGCTCTGGCCCGAGCAAAGGCAGTGTCGGCAGCCAGGGGAAGGAAGGCCCATTCTTGCACGAATCTTCGTGCATCAGGCCTCTAGTAAAAATATATTTTTTTAAAAGTTGTCTAAGTATGATCAGATATTTAGGTCTAACATCTCTGACCTGGCAACTCCATATCTTTCCAGGGCATGACCAACTTACAAGGTGTAGTAGACACCCATGCTCAATGTGACTCCTAAAGTTCTTCTAGCAGAATGTTCCTAGGTTCTGGCAGCTTATGAACAGATAAGAGTTTCTCTAACTTATAGTATTGTACTTCCTGGAAAGCTTTATGAGGAGTGGGAGCTAATCTCAGGGGCTAATCAAGAAATCCTGCTGGAAGACTGGGACTGGTATCTAAGAAACTTATACCTAAAGCAGTTTCTCAAAGCCATGACCAATGGCATCACTATCATCTGAGAACTTGTTAGAAAAGCAAATTACAGGGCACTATCCCACACACATTGAATCAGAAATCATGGTGGTGAGGCCCAGCAATTTATATTTAACAAGACTTCCAGGAAATTCTGAGGCAGATTTAGAGTTTAAGAACCATTGATCAAAGGTTTTCAAAAAGACATTGTCAGTTTTACCAAGAAGCAGCACAATTGGAAACAACCTGGTGGACAGCACACCTAAAAATTCCAAGAATATGGCAAGCTGATGGAGAAAGTAAAGAATTAGACTTTGTTTTCTAAGAATTGGGTGCTATAATATATGGAACCATTTAGCTCTCCGGTCTAAGTAGTTGGGCAGAATCTGGGTCCAGATCTGGACAAAAGGCAGGGTTGTTGCTGAGGCCAGAGAAGCAACTGCCAATAAAATAAGTTCCAGAACAGCTACAGACTTTAAAATTTTATGGTAGAACTAGAGGCCCGGTGCATGAAATTCGTACACAGGAGAAGGGGTCCCCACAGCCCAGCCTGTAACTTCTCCAATCCGGGACCCCTTGGGGAATGTCTGACTGCCTGTTTAGACCCAATCCCAGGGACATCCCTCTCACAATCCTGGACCGCTGGCTCCTAATCATTCCCCTGCCTGCCTACCCGGTCACCCCTAACTGCCCCCCACCCCCACCAGCCTGATCACCCTCACTGCTTCTGCATGTTGGCCTGATCACCCCTAACTGTCCCCGCTGCCAGCCTGGTCACCCCTCACAGTCCTTCCCCCCTACCCCCCACCAGCCTGATCACCCCACGCAGCCTGTTGTTCAGTTGTTTGGTCATCCCTCACTAACTCCCCTGCCGGCCTGATCGCCCCACACAGCCTGCTTGTTCAGTCGTTTGGTCGACCCTCACTAACCCCCCCTGCAGGCCTGGTCATAGGTAGCCATCTTTGTGAGGGCATGAGGGATAATTTGCATATTACCTCTTTATTATATAGGATTGGCCATTCTCATGTTCTACCCATACTATGACACATTGAAGACACATCAATTTGCTTTAAGCAGAATCCCATCCTGCCTATAAATTATCTTGCACCTCAAATATGGCACACATTTAAAAAAGACATTGTTGTGTTTTTGGTCTCTGTGTCTGGATTTAATTGTTTGCAGCACAATGCTCAAAGTAATCACAAATATTTGGCTGTGCAAAGAGGGTAGTGCTCAAGTACAAATGGGCGACATGATTTCCTTTAAATAAACACTAAACACACCCCGGTCCTCCAAGCACCTGGGCTCTAGGCCTGTGGATCCAGGAGGATGTCAGGGTTCCTCTCCCCACAATCAATGCATGGAATCAGGATGCCAGTGGTCATCAAAATAATGAGTTCATTCTAGAGCCCTTCCCAGAGCGCTACACATGATCTGGCTGGGCAAGGACATTGGAATTTCTGGAAGACCAATGGTCCATAACAGTGAAGTATTCCATGCAGCTCTCCTGGTCCCATGTTTAGGTGAGGGTTGCACGTAGATGACTTCCTCCAGCTGGTCCTATATGACCAGCATATGGATCTGTGATTTTTGCTAATGCGAGGGCCATTCATTGCATTCATAGCTGTGTCCTTCCGCATGTGAGAATGTGTTAGGCTGCCAGTAATTCCTTCTCTGTGAGAGCCAAGGAGAAAGCCTCCTGGTGTCACTCTTCACGTAGTGGCTTCCATAAACTCTTGGACTCCAGCAGCACAGGAAATCTGGTCCCCTGGTATTTTCTCAAGAAAAACAGAAAACAAAAACATGAAGAAATTACATCCTCTAAGATAATTGTCATTAGTAACTAAAGAATTGGTAGAGAAATGCAGAGCTTGCAATCAAGCACACTTGTGGCCCTGATTTCAGAACCTTGGATTGGCTACAAGAAACCCTTTCTAGGCTAATTCCAAAGATTATGGAAGGATTGTATTCTACAGCCTCAAGCATCTGTGAACTAAAAAAGTCAGGCAAAATGGTAAAGACAGTGAAATTCACCTTTGGTCCCCTCTCCCCACACTTCTTTCTGTAATCCTCTCCCACCTCCAGGTAACCCATCACCACCCACATTCAATCAGTCAAATTATTCCACCTTTGCATGTCTCACTCATCACCTTGACCCAAATGTCTAAGGCTGGGTGAAAACAACCTTGTCAGATTTCATAAATGTGCTACGATGGCTCAACCTGAAATCAGACACCCTGTCACAAGGGAAACAGAGCTTGTCAAAGAAATTCATATTAAAATTGGGTAGCTCTCAAATTACAGCTTAGAAAACTTTATTTTTAGAGATAAGTTTTATACTTTATACTTTGTACTGTTTCTCAAAAACTAAACTTTAAAAAATGGCACTTCATTTTAAAAACCATAATTTTACTATTATGGATCCATTAAAATTTTTATCTGTCAATAATTAAAAATCATTTCTATTTTTAAAGAATTTTAATTTTTAGACTCTATTCTGCTTACTCTTAAAGTTGAATAAAGTTAATTTCTTGCCCTGTAAAACACTTCATTCTTTTGCCATATCTAAAATAAACTAATGTATATGTCCTTTCCATTCAAATTCCAGTCACTTACCAGTTGGTAAAACTAGATATATGGTCCTCATGTTGCTTCAATAAAGTCAACATTCTCAACTTTGCTCTCAATGTTGTTGAAATATATTTTTGAATATATGTATATATATTTGAAACATATATTTGAATAGTATATATATTCGAATATATTTTTTAAGATCTTTGAAAATATGTCTTTGAAAAGTCTATTTCCAGGAGTCCAGTTTCCAAGTTTTCTTTCCTCGTCTTTTCTTTTTTTTCTTTCTGTTTCTCCCTGACAACAAAAGGGCTAAGGAAAATAAACTAAGGGTGAAAATGTTTACAGGGTGTAATTCATCTAGGACTTCTATTTAAAGGAGAGTGTGAGATTCGGGACTTTTGTTTACGAGTTTTGTTTCTACCTTACCAAGTATGGAAGGTCCCTTGATGTTTTCTTTACCATCTTGCGGTGGCCTGTCATCCTGCTGTCCCAGGAAGGGGAGAACAATCCATTTATGAGGATAGGTGGGAATGGTATGCCCCCAACAGTCTGGCC